TACTGAGGACTGCACCCTGCTGTCGCTGCCTGAGCAGAGCCAAACCCCTTCACTGCTGGTGAAGGGGATTGGCCTGGTGTTAGTGTTCCCCTGTCTCGTCAGGTTAATCAGGTCCAGCTGTGTCTCCCACCTGTGTGTGATTTCCCAGTGTCCCTCTGTGTATTTATAGTGTGTGTCTGCCTGTGTTCCTTGTCGCGTCATCTGTTTCTTGATAATTCCAGCATCTCTCTGCCCTTTATTCCAGCTCTCCATTCTCTGCTCGTCATCCCTGGTGTCACCTCCTTATGTTTTTCCCTGTGCGTTATTCCATGAGTTATGGTTTCGGGTTTTGTTTGCTATTAGTTTCCCCATTTTAGGTTAATGTTTAGTTCTGTCCTGGCTTTTGTTATTTTCACTGTCCACAAGAAAGCTCCCATGTATCACAGCAAGTGCCAGCATTTTGGGTCCTTCTTGACAACACCACACGACTGCTGCCCCAGCCGTGACTGTTGTGCCGTCGACCTTGGGTTGCCACCCTGAAATGCATTGTTTCAGCCGGTGTTCTCGCAACTAACCTCCTGAACTGTAGAGGAGCAGCCACTCTACTATCAGCCCCTCCCGGATGGCTGAACTTCTCACCCTATCTCTAAGGGAGGAAACCCATTTCCACCGCTTGTATCGCTATGGTAACGCTTGTACCATAGGATGAGGGTAGGAACGTATATCGATCGATAAACTGACAACTTCGCTTTTACATTCAGCTCTCTCTTCACCACGATGGAGTGGTGCAACATCCGTATCACTGCTGCTGCAGCACCAATGCATCTGTTGATCTACCACTCTCTTCTCCCATCATTCGCGAACAAGACCCCGAGATACTTAAACTCCTCCACTTGGGGCAGGAACTTATCCCTGACCCAGAGTGGGCACTCCACCGTTTTCTGGCTAAGGACCATTGCCTCCGATTTGGAGGTGCTGATTCTCATTCCTACCGCTTCACACTCAGCTGTCAACCATTCCATTGTGAGCTGGAGCCAATAACCTGATGAAGCCAACAAAACCACATCATCTGAAAAAGCAGAGATGAGATTCTGAGACCACCCAAGTGTAAGGCTCTGTCACTTGGCTATGCTTCCTCCGCGAAATGTTACCTTGTTTGGTTGAAATAGTTAAATGCTGTCATTGCTTTACTTAAATTTGTAAGTCTTAGTTCAAGCTTTAGGATCAAAGACATTGTTCTGTTTCTGTTCCCCTCTCCAGCCTGTTGAATGGTGAGGGGGGGCTATAGTGTAACTGTAGGAACATCCTATGTGCAGTGTTGGGAAGGTTACTTTTAAAATGTATTCCATTACAGAATACAGAATACATGCCCCAAAATGTATTCTGTAACGTATTCCGTTACGTTACTCAATGACAGTAACGTATTCTGAATACTTTGGATTACTTAATATATTATCATGCTTTTTACAACAACGTGAATGTACTATTGCTGTGTGATTTATTACTATTACTGAAGGTCCACGACTCCGAACTGTAGTAAAGGGACCTCTGACTAATACGGCGGGGTCCCTGTCGGCTTGTAGCCGAAAAATAGCTTTACTTTGTTGTGTGGGTCAACTTTTCTTGCGAGAGACAGAGAGAGGCGTTGAAAGGCTGCTCCAACGGAACTTATTGTTTTCGGAGGAAAACACGAACACGGTGTACAGTCGAGTCTTAATAGCTTACTTACAACTGGGCTCATCAGGCACTCTTCTTGGCTGAAGTGGTTATTATTATATTTACATGCTTCCAGCTCCCGTTTTTCCTCGATGACAACTCGTACCTTTCCACTCCCCTTTTTCTCCCTCCTTGCGCTCACAGACACATAACGTGTATGACAGTCCATTCTCCCTGCAACACGGACTACACTGCCCATGATGCTACATTCTTTAGAGCTATGCTTGTAGCATTCTGCCTGTTAGCTTAGCACAACAACAACAACAACAACAACGAAAAGGCACTCTCTCACACAAAAAACACACACGCACAGAGAGAGAGAGAGCGTCACCCTGTAACCATGGCAACCGTAACGCTGCCGCCTGGAACAACAGAACATAGCTGTCAAACAAAACCCAAACAGTCCTGACCCGCGACGAAATGAAACAGGAAAGTACCGCAGTGTAATCCATTTATTTAAAAAAAGTAACTGTATTCGGAATACCACCTTTTTAAACGGTAACTGTAACGGAATACAGTTACTCATATTTTGTATTTTAAATACGTAACGGTGGTACATGTATTCCGTTACTCCCCAACACTGCCTATGTGTGTTCTGCTTTGTTATTTAGTGGGGATGTTTTAGTTCTTACTCTTTATCCCCTCACCTGCGTTTCTGTATGGTAGACCGTTACAGGAATTGAGCCATATACATCGTAAGGGGAGATGACCCTTTTGTGAGCAGGAAGTCCAACAGAAACACCCACATTCACACACACTCACTCACTCACTCACTCACGTGCACACACTCACTCACGTGCACATACACACACACACACATACATACACTGAATGCCTTTGTTTTATGGCGCACCATAGGGTTTTTTTTACAGTGGGTTATGTGTGACCACTGCGAGAGGGGGCCGAGGTTTTTGGAGCTGTCTGGGATCAGGTGAGGAGCTTGCAGCTCCAAGACCCTGGTCCGATGAGCTCCCCTTGCAAGTTAAAATGGATCGAGCTCTGTCTTGCTTTGTTCACGGGAAAGCAAGACAGAGTCTCTAAACCAGCTGGGCCTGCAAAGCGCAGACCCAACAACCTTATCGTGGTGGAGGGGTTTGTGTGTCCCAAGAATCACAGGGCTATGTTGTCCAGGGGCTTTTGCCCCCTGGTAGGCTCTCCCATGGCATACTGGTCCTGGGTGAGGGACCAGACAAAGAGCAATTTAGAAGAGCCCTATAAGTACAAGACCAAGGGAACAGTTCACCCTGCCCGGAATAGGGTTACCGGAGCCCCGCCTTGCATTTTCTGCACTATAAGGCGCACTTAAAATCCTTTAATTTTCTCAAAAATTGACAGTGCGCCTTATAATCCAGTGCACTTTATGGTTTGTATCTGGGGGTGCTTACTGACCTCAAACCGATTTTATGTGGTACACAGTGCTCAACAATCTATAAAAAATGTCTTTTGTACAACTTTGGTAAGCTACAAAGCTGCAGCACTTGATGGATTGTCAGAGCATTACTGCTGCCATTGTCAGGAGCCTCACTGAGTAATGGTAAATGGTAAATGGCCTGCATTTGTATAGCGCTTTTCTAGTCCCTATGGACCCCAAAGCGCTTCACACTACATTCAGTCATTCACCCATTCACACACACATTCACACACTGGCGATTGTAGCCACAGCTGCCCTGGGGCGCACTGACAGAGACGAGGCTGCCGGACACTGGCGCCACCAGGCCCTCTGACCACCACCAGTAGGCAAACGTGGGGTTAGTATCTTGCCCAAGGATATTTGGTATGCAGCCAGGAGGCAGCCTGGGATTGAACCACCGACCTTCTGATTAGTGGCTGACCTGCTCTGCCACCTGAGCTACAGGGTAATCCGGGTCCACACACTGCTTCGGGTCCCAAAGTCAAACCAACACTGCAGCATCACTAAGAGTCATGGCTGTGTGCAGGCAGGCAGTAGAAGGATCCAATATGCAGGACCTTCAAAAGCAAATAGTGCACTTAAAACAGAAAGTCCACAAGAGAGGCTGGAGCTCAAATCCGATCAAGTCAGATCAAGTCCAAATCCAAATGCTCACCAATGATGCCGGGGCTCAAAAACAATTTAGGAGGCCAACACGGAGGTCGACATCACAGGAACCCATGGCAGAAAAGTTCAGGGGGACAACCCCGAGGTCGACAACACAACAGTCCATTACTGAGCCAGTCCGGAGGCCGGCCGCGTGGAAGACAGCGGTAGCGACACAGGCGAAGCAAATCTGGAGGACGACCATGCGGAAGGCAGTGGCGGCGACACAGTTCAGGAGGCCGCACATGACAGCAATGATGTCCAGCCAGCGGCCTGGAAAGTGGCCGGTGATGTTGAGGTGGCAAACGTGGACAAGCTGGCCATGCTAGACATGGACATGCTCTCCGAACAGGACGTGCAGCTGCAGGACTAGACGAGGCAGGACCAGACGGGGCAACCACAGGCGACTGAACTGGCCCAGACAGTGACTTGGCAGCCGCAACCAATGGAGCAGGTGGTGGCGCTGCAGGTGACAGTGTGGAAACTGTAAGTGTTGGTGCTGGAGGCGACGGTGTGGAAGCCACCGGCGATGGAGCAGGTGGTGGCGCTGCAGGCTGGATGGACTCCGTGGAGCCTCCAACAGGAACGGATGACTAAACGGGCCCCTCAGACCCTCCAGCCAAAGGCAGAGGATGGCTGGAACGGCTCCTTCAACCCTCCAGTGAAGACGGACAATGGCTGGCGCAGTTCTCCAGAACCCCCAGTGGGAACAGAAGCAGAATCAGCAGCCACAGAGTCCTCTGGCAGACACGAAGTAGAACCAGCAGTCGCAGAGTACTCTGGCAGAGACAAAACAGAACCAGCGGACACGGAGTCCTCTGGCAGAGATGAAGCAGATGGCTGGTATGGTTCTCCTGAACCACCAGTGGAGACGAGGAACGGCTGGAGCGGTTCTTCTGAACTCCCAGCACAGAAGAAAAATGGCTGGAGCAGTTCTCCAGACCCCCAGTTGATGAGACACTCCGTGGTATGGGAGCCGCAGAGTGCTGGAATTGCTCACCTGAGCCACCAGCAGGAGCAGATGCAGGCCAGAAAGTGCGAAGACCCCTGGCTGAGACGAAGCCGGGGTTACCAGCTTCGGTAGGTAGCTGAGCAGGTGGTGGAGCAGATGACAAAGCTAACGGCTGAGCTGCAGGAAGAGTTGGTAACTGAACTAGAGACAGAGCTAGAGACTGAACAGGAGACAAAACAGATGGCTGAGTTGAAGACTGAACTGGTAACTGAACAGATGCTTGAGCTACGAACTGAGCTAATGACTGAAGTATTGGTTGTAGTAGTGATTGTGGTGGTTCTCCCGAGCCTCCAGAGTGTTACCTAATGAAAATTATATAAAACTATTAATCCACTATAAACTAGTTTTGACTGTGCTATGATAGATGGTGGGCATCTGCTCTTGTATGCTCATGTTCTCCTGAATTTCCTCACAGAGATTCAGATTTTTTAAGATAGAAATATAGAAATAAACTTGATAAATATGTTTTGAGAAACCAAGTATAATGTGTCTGAAAGGCCAAAACTATGAAAATACTAGAAGTCAGATTTTAACTAAGTAACTTACTTAAAATCAGATTTAGAAATTTTAACTACGAAAAACACAAAATATTATTGTAAATTGTCTTTATTTGTGTTCCAAGTTACATAATGCATCTTCTATCTATAAACTATAGAGCAGGGGTTTTAAACTCAAATACAAAGTGAGCCAAAATTCAAAACTGGAACAAAGTCGTGGGCTAACATTTATATTCATTGAAAAAAAAATCTTCCTCCAGATATAAGAATGGATCTTTTCTTATGGACTCAAACACGTTTTGCTGAAAAACTGAATACGGAACAACCAAAGCTTAATACTAAACAATATATATATTAGCTGTATAATACCAGTAGGCCAGCTTTGATAATAATTTGGTATGGCTTCGCGGGCCAAATGTAATTAGGCTTTGGGCCAAATTTGGCCCGCGGGCCAGAGTTTGACACCTATGCTATAGAGGTCATGTACATGTTACACTGTCTATTGATTAACAATGTAATTCAAATTTCTCTTAAATTAAATATGTACATATATGAACACTTTTCCCCCTCTGTGCAGACACACCTATGACTTTAATCTAAAACTTGAACTTTTACCACATATAAAATTCAAAACTCTTTTTCTTATTTTTGTTAGTTTCAGTCCATACATGAGGGGATTCATGATTGGTGGGATAAGGAGAAACTCCATTGTCATGAAATTCTCAACATTTTGTGCTATTTCTTTTGAGCCAAATCGCATGTATAACATATCAAAAAGCAAAGACACAACAACAACTGTTAAAGAGAATAAATGTGGTACACATGTCTGCATGAATTTGTTCCAGTTTTCTTTGGATGATTGACATGTTTTGATCAGATATACATAAGACCAGAAAACAAAAACAACATGACCAACATAAAAGGTGTAATTAAAAGCAGGAATAACAATTCTAGCTACAGAGGCAGAGCAAGCTAGATTAGCAATTAACCAGTTTACACAGTAGATTCTTGGTATGTGTGAGCCACATAACCTCGATGTTGCTGTTGTTATCGTGCTCATTAATAGAAGGTAAAAGGGAATAAGCCAAGCAAAAAATACAAAAATATAAATTTTTTGTGTAGTCATCAGAGAGTGGTACACAAGAGGTCGACATATAGCCACATATCTGTCATAGGCCATGAGAGCTAGGAGAGAGAAGTCAGCAGCAACTGCAGAGTGCAATACAAAACCCTGCAAAAGGCATCCTGCATAAGAGATGACATGAGTGGTGGACAGAAGATCATAGAGAAACTTGGGATAAAATGCAGCTGTCCCATAGAGTCCATTGAAACACAGATTGCAGAGGAAGATGTACATGGGTTCATGAAGTTTTTTATCCACAATGACTGTCACAATTATCGTCAAATTTACCAGCCAAATCACACAGTAACACAGTAAAGTGAGAACAAAGAGAATGACCCTGTAGTTTGCAATATCACTTAAACCTGAGAGAGTAAAAACAGTAATTACTGAAACATTATCCATAATAAAATTCCAGACTGAGAGCAAATGACATTTAAACAAGTTAAAGTCAGGGTGAAATGAAGTCTGTCTGTGTACTGTCTCCCTGACAAAGTATGTCACCAGAGGTTTATATACTCTTCTTGTCAGCAACAATGAACTGGTTAGCATGATGTAATTGGTGCTTTCACTCCTTGAGTCGAATAACTTAGTTTTACTTTTAAAATACAAGCTCTTTGTAGTCATTTCCCAGATGTCAGCAGTTGCATAAAATACAAACAGGTGTGAGGAAATGATGAGGAGTAAGATAAATTAATAAATTTAGTTTAAGGAGAAGGGCTTGCAAGAAGAGCTTCAGCAGCATCCCGAGGAATTTTGGGGGGTGATTCATGGGGTATTGAGTTTGTTGGTACAGTCTATTCAAACTCTCTACACATGCATTAAGACCTTCATTTTCGGTGCAAAACAGCAACACAGTGGCTAAGGTTGTTAAAGTTAAGTATAAGTAAACATTGTACTTAAACATATGAAGGTAAACTTCAGAAAAAAAACGAACTGAAACCTTTTTTTCACTTACAAAACAAAATCAAGTAAAATTAGTATTTTTGATTCACAAATGTAAAAACCAAAAGGAAGCTCTGATACTTGTATTTCAATCAGTGCAATATCTGCAAACGAATGAAGTGCATCTAGCCATATAACATACAGGTCACAGTGTTTGTTTATCAACAACAATGAGATATGCACATACACAAAAACATTTTTTTGTGTGCAGAGAAATTCATGACTTTAATCTAAAAGCTGGTTTGTCATGGTATGGGTTCTGGGACCCAGTGTTTTTGTAATTCTGGGTTTTGTATATTCTTTGATTGAGTGTCTTTCTTTAAGTTCTTTTGCTTTTTGTGTTTTCTTATTCCCAGGTTTTATTCATGTGCCTCCTCCTGTGTTCCATGTGTCATGTCTAGTTGAGTTTTCATGTCTGCTCTTCCCCAGTTTCACCGTCTAGTCCACGTTTCTGTCTTTCTCTCATGTTTCCTGTTTTAATTTGATAGTTCCCCGTCTTGCGTTCAGTTTTGCTTCCTCACAGTTTCATGTGTGTGTTTGTGTAATTAGCCCCAGCTTTGCTTCCCTCCTGGTTCTCATCCCCTTGTTATCCTTTGAGTATTTAGTCCTTTGTCTTCCTTTACCTGTTGTCATTTGTGTGCGTTTTCTCCATGTTTTTCCTAAAGTTCCAAGGTTTTTCAAGTGCTCCAGATTTTGTTTTTATTTGCTTGGTTTCCCCAGTTTAGGGATTCTCATGTTTAGTTTGAGAGCTCTTCAGTTGGAGTGGTGGTAGTTCGTAAGAGATTAAAGGATGACCCCAACCTCAGCAACAGGACCAGTCTCAGCACCAACCAAGTGTGTTTGCTTTTGTAACTGTGTCTTAATTCCACCTATTTCACATACAAGGGTCAGTACTACAGGCAGAACGATGGGTGTGCCATGGGTTCCCCAGTTTCTCCTATACTGGCCAATTAGATGGAAGAAGTGGAAAAGACGGCTTTGTTATCCTACCCTGGAACACCACCAAGTCATTGGTTCAGATATGTGGATGACACCTGATGAAAATCAAATCTCAGGACGCACTGGGGCGGACCACCAGGTGGCTCCACCCACACCCAGGGTTAGGGGAAGTGAGGGGATGAAGGTTTTGGCGCTTTCTATGTTCAGTTGTGTAAAGCAGTGATTAAAGTTGGAACAGTCTCCTAAACGCTGCCTCACCTCACAGTCTAATGCTTCAAGCTGCCTTCAGCCTTCTGTTGCTACTCCTTCAAATACTTATCAATGATGTTCGCTTGCTCTACGGTAGAGTATCACTTCCTGTTCCTGCTCAAACACAGTGGTGT